TGACTTAAGTCATGTTTTGTTTTGTTTTAATCACCTCACAGGCATGTGAAAACTGGACGATGAATAGGGAAGAGTAGAGAAGAATTGACTTGTTTGAATTGTGGTGTTGGCAAAGAATACTGAAAGTACCATGGACTGCCAGAAGAACAAACAAACCTGTCTTGGAAGAAGTACAACCAAAATATTCCTTAGACGTGAGGCAGGCAAGGTTGTATTACTGAACAGCGCTGGTAAGTACTACACAATTTGTCACATTGCAACCTTGTTTCCAATTTAGTGATTGCTACTATGGACTCAATGGCTCCTAACAACAACAACAACAACAACACGTATGGAATTAGATGGTGATAATGACAACAAGATTTGGTGTTGTTGTTTTTGTACTATGATTTAGTTAGGAACTGAGGTTCCTGATTTTAACCTATTGACAGCAAGACCTAAGTTCCCTCCTTCAGGCATTAGCACCTAAGAATCAAAGGGTTACATAATCAGCATACAAGATACTGCACTTTGGATTGTAGCCTTTGACAGAACTGAAAGGAAAGGAATTGTGCTACATGTTGAAGGGATTGTGGGTAACAGAAAGATGACACCAGGAGAAGATAAAAATGGTCACATGACACCTTCAAAGTCTTGTACATATCCTCCATCATAACCACTTTAGTCTGCCAGATGGTCTTTCATGGTAGTCTTTAACACCCCCCTCGAAAAACTACATCTTTCTTCTTTTTGGATTTGCTTTGCTTTCCTTGCTTCTGTTTTTCACTGCAAAGCACAGTCCATGGATTGGTTGTTGTTGTTGTTGTTGTTAAGTGCCTTCGAGTCGGAGCCGACCCATAGCGACCCTGTACAGGGTTTCCAAGGGTGTAAATCCTTACGGTAATCTTTTTTAAATCATCAATTTCCAATGAAATACCTACACCTTAAACTAAGGTTTCCAAAAAGCTGACATAATATAGTGACTTTTCATATTGTGTAATTTTATCTTTTAGAAACTTTCCAAATTCTATC